CTCCCTCCCTCCCTCCCTTTCCTCTTCCTCCTCCTCCTCCTCCTTTTCTTCTTCGTGTTCCTAATTGTACTTTGTATTTCAGTAATTATAGTTCTTAGTTCTTTTGTTTTCTTTTTTTCCTAAGGTCTCTTAATTATACATATTTCTCTGTTTAGAAATAGAAGTATTGTTTCCAGTATTCTCTTTAGAGCTGGTTTGGTGAACATGAATTCTTTTAGCCTTTTTATATTATGGAACATTTTTTGACTGTGATTGATAGTTTTGTTGGGTTCTGTCATCTAGGTAGTCACCCATGATCTCTTAGAACTTCAAGTGCATTGCTCTAGGATCTTCTGCTGTTCAGTTTCCATTGAGAAATCAGCAGTTACTCTGATGTGTTTTCTATATGTCAAATGTGGTTTGTTTTCCATGTAGCTTTAAATATTCTTTCTTTGTTCTGTATACTTAGTGTTTTAACTATGTATCTGTATGGGTATGTTTTTCCTTAGTTTGGGGATATTTTTTTAATTATCTTGTTAAAGATCTGGTGTATCCCATTGAATTGGGATTTTATTCCTCATTTATGCCTATAATTTGTCTTTTCATGGTGTCTCACAGTTCCTGCATGTTCCTTTCCTGTGGATTTTTTTTAATTTCTCATATTCTTTGCTTTCTCATACTTCTTCTGCTTTGTCTTTGAGTCCTCATATTGTCTTCTTTTTGATTCATTCTACTTACAAAGATTTCTCCTAAATTTTCTTGTTTTTTTTTTTTTTTTTTTTTTTAATTCACCTTCATTTCATCTTGAGTTCTCGTCAATATACACCCTTTATTGAATTTAGTGTTTGAATCCTGGGATGCCTGGGATGTCTTCATCATTTTCATCAGCTTCATGTCTGTGTAGTTTTTTTTTTTTTTTGTTTGTTTGTTTTTTGGTGTCACTTAGGCATTTATATTCTTCAAGTTCATTCAGCTGTTTCTTTAAACTCCTTGAATTCTTTGAAGTTTATGGTAGTTCTTTTACACTAGGTGTCCTAAAGTTCATCTAAATAATTTTATTTTTAGAACTCCTCTGTAGGGCTTGTGGATTTAGAGGGAACATACTGTTTTGATTTTTCATATTTTTATTTTGTGATAAACTGTGGGCATGTAGACTTCTTTCATTGGTTCTATGTTTGATGTGGACACAGTAGGCTGGGACAGAGCATAGCACGTGGAAGCTGGATATGGTGTGGGTGGGTTAAGTATTAGGGACACAGAGAATGCTGGGGTAGTACATAGGATGTGTACCCTGGCCCAAGCCTGGTGCTTGAGGAGAGCATGGGGCTGGGGCTGGACACTGAATGTAGGATTATGACTGGATCTGAGATTGGGGGTGTGGGTAAAGGTTAGACTAGGTGGACTCAACATTTTGGGCACCTGTACAATATTAGGACTCTGCTTCTTAATAAAGATCACTTGTGTATATGACGGGGGGGGGGGGAATCAATGACAAAATCTTTTGGTGTTTTAGCACATTGCTAAGTTGAGAACCTGGGAGTGATTTTACTATTAGAACTTTAAGAAGAAAGATGTAGGTAGATTGTAGGTAACATTATTGCATATTATTCCTAACCATTATGCCATGCATTTTATTTGCTAGTGGATTATTTACCATTCATGAATAATAGAGGTTTTTTGTTAATTTTAATGGGTGTGCTCTTTAAATATGTTTATTGTATCAAAGTGTAAAGAGATGTTATATTGTTTTTTCCTTAGTTTGTATTGTTTCTCAATGAAAAACGAAAGTATAAATTATATTTTCAGGTTTAAATTTTATTTATAATACTTAGTGAAAGTTGATCAGATAGTAATTTTAGTCAATATGGTATTAGCAGGCATTGTGGTATTACTATCTTTTGTATTTTGCAGATTTAAGAATAAGAAGTTCTAATGTGCCACCAGACGGGAATATACATCACAAATTCGGTAAAATAATTTATTCTTACAATATTTCCATTGAAGAAAATAGTATTATTGAATCTCTCTATAAATATAGCTTAATTTTTTTAAGCAGGGAAAATACATCCCAATTAGTATTACATATTTAGTTCTCAGCATTTCATAGTGTATTATGAAATTTCAAAGTAGTTTTTTTTTTTTTAATAATTTATTTACTTTTATTTTATATGCATTGGTGTGAAGGTGTCAGATCCCCTGGAACTGTAGTTACAGACAATTGTGAGCTGCCATGTGGGTGCTGGGAATTGAACCTGGTTCCCCTGGAAGAGCAGCCAGTATGCTTAACTACTGAGCCATCTCTCCAGCCCCCTCAAAGTAGTTTTAATTTATATTTCCTTGATTGTTAAGGCTGCTAACCTTTTTAAAAGTATTTCTCAGCTATTTGTGTTTCATCTTTTGAGAACTCTGTTTAGTTATATACCCCATTTTAAAAATTGGGTTAATTTCTTGTTCAGTTTTTTATTTCTTAATATATTCTAAATATGAACCCTATGTCAGATGTATAATTGGTAAAGATTTTCCCCCATTCTATTGACTACTGTTGTGTTCAAATTATGATGTCCTGTACTGTCCAGAAGCTTTTCAGCTTCATGAGAACTCATTTATTATTGGTTTTTGGCTTAGTTATTGTTGTGTTGCTGTGATGAAATACCATGAACAAAGCAACTTATAAAAGGAAGCATTTATTTGGGGGCTTGCTTACAGTGTCAAAGTAATAGTCCATTTCCACTGTGGGGAGCATGGTGGCAGGCAGGCAAGAATGGTGCTGGAGCAGTAGCTGAGAGCTTACATCCTGATCCATGCTCTGTAGGCAGAGAGAGAGCAAGATGACCTGGCATGGGCTTTTGAAACCTAAAGCTCACCCCCAGTGGCATAATTCCTCCAACAAGGTCACATCTCCTAATCCTTTATAAACAGTTCACCGAGAACGAAGCATTCAAACATATGAGCCTTTGAGGGCCATTCTCATTTAAACCACCATAGTCTTAGTCTCTAAGTGTCTTGTTCAGAAAGTCTTTTTGCTGCAAACAAGTTCAAGCTTATTTCCCATGTTCTCTGTTAGATTCAGGGTATCTGGTTTTATACTGAGGTCTCTTTTACATTTGGAGTCGAATTTTTGTGCAGGATGAGAGATAAAGATCTATTTTCATTGTACATGTAGCTATCCAATTTGATCCAATTTGAAGATGCTGTCTTTTCTCCATTGTGTTTTTGGCTTGTCAAAATCAGGTGTTCATAGGTGAGTGGCCTTATGGCTGGGTCTTCAGTTTGATTCCATTGATCTTTGTTTTGTGGTGGATGTTCTGTTTTGGTTGCTATTGTCCATTCTGGGTCCAAGCCAACCAACCGTGGTTTCTTTGGAGTCCCTGATTCCCAGCTAAGTGTGGTGACTGGGGTCCCTGATAGTTCTGTGGTTCAGTGAGAAGACATAGTGCAATGGAGATGGGATAGAAGGAAAGGCTGAGAGATGTGGTAAAGAACTCTGCACCAAGAGGCTTAGTCTGAAGGGCTTGGAAATGGGCTTGGGAGGTGTTACCGAGGTAGGCAAGCTGCAGCAGGCCTAAAAGTTGGCCTAAAGAAACTGGAATGGAGAGCAGGAAGGAAGATAAAATTTATCCACTTGGGAGCTAGCCATATATTGTGACTGCGGGGTTTGTAGCTGAGGTTTTCCTGTGTCCCAGCCTGCCAGTGGTCAGGAAAAATCTCTCTCACCCACCAGTCCCACAGCCACTCTGACCCAAGTAAACACACAGAGGCATATATTATTTATGAACTGTATGGCCATTAGCTCAAGCTTATTACTGACTAGCTCTTACACATAAATTAACCCATAATTTTTATTTATGTTTAGCCACATGGCTTGGTACCTTTTTCCTAGTTCTTCCTTCATGTCTTGCTTCCTCTGTGTCTGGCTGGTGACTGGCAGCGTCTCCTCATTCAGCCTTCCACTCCCAGCCTTCTCTCTCTTTATCCCACCTATATTTCCTGCCTGGCTACTGGCCAATCAACATTTTATGAGCAACACATTCAGAGCATACAGAACACCCCATAGCAGGGGTCCCTGGTAGAAGTGGTTCTGCAGGTTAGCGGGAGTCATAAACTAATGGAATCTCAAATTATAAGAACCAATTCTGTTTAATATATGGAGTGTAGCATTGTTCAGATAATACCATTAACATTCTCACACATGGGTATTATCAAACTTTTATTTCTTGGGCAATCTAGAGGCTTCATTTTTCATGGACTTTTATTTATTTGCACAAACATCTAAAAATTTGTGGATTTTGTCTCATCATAGAAACATTATGTTCTAAGGATTGGCATGCATCTTTACTATGTTTACCCAGCCTTTGAATTTTTGTTAACTTTTGGCAGTACTGCCCTCCAGATCACCAAATGTTCGTAGAACAAAGAGAATACGTTTGAAACCTCTGGAATATTGGCGAGGGGAACGGATAGATTACCAAGAAAGGCCATCGGGTAAGACCTAATTTAGATGATAATGTCTTATAAAGGAAGGAATTATTGCTCTAATTAATTTTATCATGTGACAGGCCCTAACCTACACATTATTATACATTACCTCATTTAATCATCACCTCCCACATACAGACATCTGAAAATTGGGTTTTCAGATTTGTCTCATTATTTTAGATGTGTTGACTTTTTTCTTTTTTTTGTTACTATCTGACTCTGTGACTTTGTAGATATTGTCACTTAAATATCTGAGGTTTCTGATTGCATAAAGTGAATCATTTTAACTTTTATTTAATTATATGTATGTGAGGATATGCACAGAGGCAAATTGGGTCCCCTTGGAGCTGGATTGACAAGGTGGTTGTGAGGCACCCATCATGGGTGCTGGGAACTGAACTCTGGTCCTTTTTAAGAGCAGTATAAACAATCTCTTTACTGGTAAACTGTCTTTCCAGCCTAAAATGAAACATATTAAAATATATCTGATAAAAATGGTGTCTTTCTCATTCTTAGCATCTATTCTCTTTATAGAGAGTTAACAAGGAACTAAGTGATAAAGTTGTATTAGTATTTAGATGGATGTAGCTATGTTAAAGGACACTTACATGTGGCTTACTCCTTCAAGTTCATTACTTGAACTTTTGTCTTTAGCCCTCCATTGACAACTGTTGATTTCGTGTGAGTAAACAGCTCATTGAGTCTTATCTCATCAGTGCTTCTAGATTTAGTGTTAGAGGCATAAATGAAATTGGTTAATATTTGTATCACCTTAACAGCTATAACATGTAGTAATAGTATTTCCCTTGGTACTTTGAAAAGAAATATATTTAATGTTTTGCTTTTAGCTTTTGACATCCCCAGGAATGTTTTTACCTTTTTTATTAAATTTTAGGAAGAATTGTCATTGGAATATTATCCCCACCTCCAGTATCACCCAGAAGAAAGTCGAAAAGAAACCTGGCCAAAGTCACCAAAAAAGCTAACAGGAAACGGATCCATCGTGATAACTATGAAAGTATGAACCTGTTCTAATGTAACTTAGATTTCATACCTTTTAAAAACTTGAGACATAGTATTCTCTTCAGTAAAAATCACTTTATAATGTTGTTCCCCCCTCCAATTTAGAATGTAGGACAATTTTATTCTTATAAAAATAGCTGTATAGTATAGTATAAAATATTTCCTTATGAGTGTATTACTGAAGGCTCATATGACCCTTCCCTTTTCCATGCTCAAAATATGGTTACAGTAGACATTTAATGAACTTTTTCAGAACTTTGCCATGATTGCAGCTCTGAGGGAATATACAAATCATTTAGTTTTTTGTTGAAATGAAAGTTTACATAATGGCTCACAGAGGTATTAGTTTTACATTCAATATGTCTTAGAATTTGAAATTTTGTTTCTTAGAGTGCTAACACATGATCAGGAGGAGATTGCTAAATCTTTGTCAGCTTTCTTTATAACTTGTTTCTCATATTTTGTACTGATTTTTTTAATAATGGAGATTAATTTTTATTTTAATGGTGTTTGTTTTACAGAGGATAGGTTAGTAGTGAATCTGGATATAACTCTAGGAGATCCCTTTCAGGCAACGTTGGCAAAGGACCCAGAAACAAGAGAGATTGTCCCTATGGGTAAGCTTGGGAATGATACCGAAAATAATTTAACAGAAACTATTGAATGGTTGGTTTGTGTGTGTGTTCTCTCCCTCCCTCCCACCCCCTCTCTCCCTTTACCTCTTCCCTCCCTCTTTCCCCTCTTCCTCTCTCAGCACTAAAGTCTATTCCAATAAACAGTCTCTGTGAGAATAATTAAGGATGAGCATTTATGTCAAGTACAGTATTATGTGTTTGTGTTCTGAATTCTGGAGTTCAAGTGGAACTATTACTTACCAGGTGTGTTATCTCCTCCAGTAGGCCTAGGCTTTCTATAACTGGGAAGAAATGTGAGGAACTTCCTATGGGAAATTATGGAAAGTTAACTGGTATGTCCCAGGATGTAGTCCATGTGACTAAGCAGAATTTGGGCCAGGGCACACACTATCTTCTGAACCTTTGGACACCAATAATCATATCTGGGACATGAAACCTTTGAGAAGATGACTGTATAATAGCATCAGTCGGCCATACAAACATTAGCATTAATGTTAAGAACCTAGAAGCCTCATGCTGTATTACATAGATGTTAAACATTTAGTTTCTGTGAGGCCATACACAATTCTAAGGAATAAACTCTAGTGGTATAGGGGTTTCGGGAATACTTGGGTGTTTACCAACTGTCTTAGTTAAGTTTTTATTGTTGTGAAGAGATACTGTGACCATAGCAACTCTTATAAAGGAAAACACTTAATTGGAGACTTACTTACAGTTCAGATGTTTAGTCCATTATCAGCATGGTGGGAAGTATGACAACATGCAGGCAGACATGGTGCTGGAGAAGGAACTGCTACATGTTGATATGCAGGCAACTGTCTCACTGGGCGTGGCTTGAGCAAATATGAGACCGCAAAGCCTGCTTCCACAGTGACACACTTCTTCCAGCAAGACCACACCTTCTCCAACAAGACTACACCTACTCCAATAAGACCACACGTCCTAATAGTGCCACTCCCTTTGGGGGCCATTTTCTTTCAAACCACCATACCACCCAAGCAGTATTTACATATAGGAAATACTTAAATATCTTAATAACTATAAGGAATGTGTCTTAGTCACTGTCCTATTACTGTGAAGAGAAACCATTAACCAAGGCAACTCTTATAAAAGAAAGCACTTGGTTGGGGGCTTGCTCACACTTTCATTTATCATTATGGTTTAGTCCATTATCATGGCAGCAAGCATGGCCGAAAGCATGGTAGGCACGGTGCTGGAGAGGTAGTTGAGCTACATCTTGATCTGCAGGCAGAGACACTGGACTTGGTGTTAGCTTTTGAGAGCTAACCTCAGAGCCCACCCCTAGTGACTTACTTCTCCAACAAGGCCACACCTCCTAATCTTTTCAAACCATCCCACTCCCTGGTGACTAAGCATTCAAATATATGAGCCTGTGGGGGCCATTCTTATTCAAACCACCACAGACTGTATCAGAAATAATAACAACTATTCCTCAAGTCAAACAGATTGGTCAAACTAGAAGTCACTAGTGGTATTCCCACTTAAATTTTGTCTATGAACTAGTTTACATTTATCATCTTTAGAGTCATTCTGTATTTCAGAGGTTGAAATACAGAAGGCATTGTTTAGTGTGAAAACATAACTTGAGCCCTTCCAAGCTAGAAAAGTTTTTTCAACTTTTATGTTTCAGTAGTCTATGCATTTTCTTTATTGCATTGTATATATTGACCCTTAACATTCTCAAATATCTAGTGATACAGAGCCAGAAGCTATGATTAATGAATGCATTAAGAGGCTTGGAAAGGTTCATAAATGCAAAGGAAACCTGAAATGAGAGAGTGATTATTGAGCTAAGGCTTATATTCTGCTTTCATGTAGTCTTTGCTTAATTAAATAAAAATGTTTCTGATTAATCATCAAATGAACAAAAACCAATTTATTGTTACTGTGATGACACTTTATTTTGGACTTTGTTCAGCTTTGTAAAGACACGAAGCTCTTTATTGTGTCTCCCCTAATATTATTGTCCTTCTTCGCCTCTGTAGAAGTAAAAACAGTTCCATTATTGTTAAGCTAAGATAAATAACATAGTGCTTAGTTTGAGCCAGTCATTTCTTTTTGTTCTATATTAACTCTTTGATGTTCACAGAAGTTGTTTAAACATAGGCTGCTGCTCATTTTTACAGAAAGGAAATTGAGGCTTAGAGAGAGAACTTAAGTAGTCCAAAGTCATGTAGTTTATGAGCCAGGCAGAATGTGACCTTTGGCATTCCAGCTCCAGATTCAGTCATCTTCACCCTGTGTAATAGTACTTCCTCTATGTATGCATGGTCTAAATGACGTGTCTATGAATGTTTACTATATCATTGAACACTACTGTTACAATAGGGCTTCCCATGCATAGCCCAGATAGACTTCCAATTTGTAACCCTCCTTAGTTCCCTAAGTGCTGAGATGACAGTTACAGGCCCTTACAGCTTGTGATGGCTTTATATTTGTATTATTCCTTTCCTCCTAGATCTTATAAGACCACGAGATACATACCAATTTTTTATGGAGCAACATGGTTTGCAAGTTTTTAAAACAATGGATACAGCAGTTTTTTCTACTGGAAAATTGGTTTTAGGACCCCATGAAGAAAAAGGAAAGCAACATGTTGGCCAAGATATATTGGTGAGTATATTTTTCCACTTATTTCTGTTTTTCTAGAAGTATGACTGATTTTTTTCTCTGATGATGCATTAAAATTCTATTTAGTTAGTAGTGAAATTCCATTGTTATGCTGCACAAAGAAATCTTTTCGTTTATTAAATCTATTGTGGTTAGCCAGTCAGTAATTATTTAAAAATACCTGTACTGTGTATAGCACAACCTTGAGCTTCAGTGATTTAAGTTGTGATTGTTTTTAAGCGAATCTTTGGATACAGATTTGCAAATAAATAGAATTTTAGAGCTGGAGGGGATTATAGAGATTAAGTCTTGTGAATTTCTGTAATCATCTGGTTGAGAATCAAAAGAGTTTAAAAATGACTTAACTGGTTAAGAGTTCCCTGGAGACAAAGGACTAGCTGCATCAATCAGTACCATGGCTGCTGTACTTAATAGGGTCTGAGATTTATGATGAGTTATTTTATCTCACTCTCTTCCTCTCTCCCTTCTTCCCTCCTTCCTCTCCCTGTCTCAGTATCTGCTATGCATATGTTCATGAGTTCTGATTTCATTCTAAACATGATAAGTATAGAACCTATGAAGTATATTTTAAAGGTATTTAATATTATGCCACCATTTTAGCAACATTATAAAAAAAGGACATTGCAAGAATAATTTATTGTTGCATTATGGTAACTAGAATCAATTAAAATAATTTCAATCTTAATATTCTGTAGCTTTCCAGGTATGGTTCTGTGTGCATATGTATGCGTGGTGTATGCACACATGGCAGGTGCGGAGACCAGATAGTGGCCTGCTAAATTACTCTCTCCACTCGATTCCCGTGAGACAGGACCTCACTGAACAGGAAGTTAGGTTGACAAACCTCAAGCCCAGCACTTCCCCTGACTGTCCCTCCACCTCCTTCCCTGTACTGCTAGGGTTCCAGGTACACATCCCACAGCCGGCTTTTGACGTAGGTGCTGCTGTTCATGCTTGTGCAGCAAGTGTCTTTCCCATTGAGGCATTTCTCTAGCTCCTGTTCTGTGATTCTTAATGACTTATTTAATGCAGTGGATACAACAGTAACTGATGATGAAGACATTTTATGTCATCACAGGCCTAATAGTAGTTACCCGTTCAATTGTAATGCCTTTACATAAAAGGAAATTTAAATAATAAATATTTGAAATATTTAACATGGTTAGTATTCAAAGGGATCCATGTTTTAAAACAAGTGACAACTATAATTAATTAATAGAATTTATTATATTAGAATACAAAATGATTATTTACACTTACTTGTAATATTGCTTATAATTGGAAAATTTGGAAAAGAAGAACATACTACAGAGAGAAAATGGCTATATTTTTATTTTGGCTTAATAATATAAGTCACTATGTGGCAAAATAAAGTTATATAACTTCAAATGTAATCTAAGAAGTGTCTGTACATTTAAAAACTATCTCAAACATATCTTTAATACTAGCCACATGAGAAATTCTTTGGGCTAAAGTTCTAAAGCAAATTTTTAAGACAAAAATTTATGTATATATTTTAACTTTCTTTCTGTTTGCTTTACTGTGTGTTAGGAATGGAACTTTGGGGTTTGGTATTTAGACAAGTTTCTTCCACTGGGCTGCATTTTTAGCCCCTGATTAGAGTTTGAAAGTGTAAATGGCAAGCAAATATGGAAAAACGTGTTACTATGTGATCGATTATTTGCTTTGAGTATTAATTTTTTTTTTTGAGGCAGGGTTTCTCTGTGTAGCTTTGGGCCTTTCCTGGAACTCGCTTTGGAGATCAGGCTGGCCTCGAATTGAGTACTAATTTTTAACTGAAAATCAGCATTAAGTATTTTCTTAATAATAGGAACATTTTTCTTAATTTTTTAGGTTAGCATATGAAGTATTTTTTGCATATTTTTAAAATTTGAAGCATACTTGATATGATTTTGAAAAACTAACAGAGACAAGAATAGAGCCCCAGCCTTTGCCTTTAATGCCTTCCTGATACAATGTTAGAGACCCTGTCTGAAGAGGGGGAGGAGACCAAACCCAAAAAAATTAACAGTGTACTACTAGAGTTGATGTTCAATCTTCCCTAATAAACAAAAGAGCACTTAGAAATAGTAAGTGGAGAAGGTAAGGAGGGCCATTAATTGTCGTGCTAGAAACCCCATCGAATGACTGAGGGAACCGGATGCAGAGATCCACAGCCAGGCCCCAGGTGGAACTCCAGGAGTCCAATTGGCGAGAAAGAGGAGGGATTGTATGAGTGAGAATTGTTGAGACCAAGATTGGATAGAGCACAGGGACAAATAGCCAAACGAATGAAGACACATGAACCAATGGCTGAGGAGCCCCCAACTGGATCAGGCCCTCTGGATAAGTGAGACAGTTGATTAGCTTGATCTGTTTGGGAGGCATCTAGGCAGGGGGACCAGGTCCTGTACTCAGTGCGTGAGTTGGCTGTTTGAAACCTGGGGCTTATACAGGGACACTTTGCTCAGCCTGGGAGGAGGGGACTGGACCTGCCTGGACTGAATCTACCAGGTTGAACTCAATCCTCAGGAGGAGATGGGAATGGGGAGTGGGTTGGGGGGGAGTGGAGGGGGCGGGAGGGGGGAGAACAAGGGGATCCGTGGCTGATATGTAAAATTAAATTAAATTATAAAAAAAAAAAAAAGATGATTCACTCAGTGAAGGTGCCTGCCGCCAAGCTTGACAGCTTCGGAAAAGAGAGAACTGGTATCTATAACTCCTAATTGTGGCCTGTGGCTTGTGCCCCCGTCCCCCAAATAAATAAAATAAAATAAATGTTAAATAAAAAATGGCATGAATAACAGAACAAAACATGACAATTTACTCAAATAGTAGGAATGTTAAAGACAGAATTTCTTTTTTTTTTTTTTTTAAAAGGGCCTGAAAGTACAGTTTTAAAATTAAATGAAAAATCCAGAACTAAAGCCAAAAAACTTCTCGACCCCCTCACATTAACCACTTCTCTATTTCTTGGGGGGAAATGCCTGATTTGGGGCCTTGGGCTCAGCTTTGAATATTTTTATCATGCCATACCTGATGGAAGACTACCACAGATGAGTAGGATTAGGTAATAACATCTCAGCAGCCAGCTTGAAGATGCTCTTCCACTGGCCAAAGATAAAGTCTGCACTGCAGCATCAGTAAGAACACCTTAGTGGGCTGATGTACTTCAGTTAAGTCTAAGTCCGTCACTGTTAGCCAGCCTCTGAAAGAAAAATTAATGGGTTAATTCTGAAGGATTTTTGGAAGCTTCTTATCATGTTCCCAGCTGATAGTTAAGCTGAGGGGAAATCAATCTTTTATTCTCCCTTTCCCATACAAAGTCTGCAGCTAGGTAGTCAGACAATAGGAGAGAATTTTCTTGTTAGGAATACTTAGGTACTGAATGAACATGGAATGTTACAGTTGAAATATCACCATTTTGCATCTCCTCAATAAACTATTTAATGTGGGCACTGAGCATCAGTGGCTGCTGACATCTGTAAGGAGCATAGTTAGACATGTATTTCCTGATAGAAAAATAGAGTTCTGAGTAATCTTAGTGTCTCTATCTCTTTAAAATACATAGAAACTGCAAGAAGACAACATGGAAGGTCTCTAGATCGAACTACTAGTTTACAGGGAATGAAAGAAAGCTGAAACTGAATATAATGAGCAAAGTCCTGCTGTGTATATAGGAGAGCAGTAGGAACTGAAAAGAGAGAGAGGACCAGGTAAAACCTCTATGTCAGGGCTTCCCAACATAGCACTGCTGACATTTTGCCCTGGGTGATAGTTTTTATTGAAGCAGGGAGCTATCCTATATATAGAAGGGTATTTAGAAGCTTCCCTAGAGTCTCCCTACTGGTATCACACGAGACAGTGGCAGTTAGGTTTTCAGAAACTGTTGTATCTTGAGGAGAACAATCAATCAGCCTTTATTGAAACCACTGCTATTGGCTGAAAGGACTGACCAGTCACTGTGTTCACCTCTAATGTGTATCCTAGTCCAAAAAAAATCTTGCAAATATGTGGTTGACACAATTAGAACTTTGAACATTAATTTTAGCGATGACAATATTGTGGTTATATTCTTATAAAGGACTTAATCTTTTAGTACACAATGAATGCTTATGAACTATTTATGCTAGGCTTTCTTCTCAAATACTAACTAATGAAGGAAATAGACTGTATATTGGACAGGTAGTTTGTTATAGGTATTCATAGATGTTTGCCATTTAGTTCTGTTTTTGTCTGTATCAAATTCTTGTGTGTGTGTGTGTGTGTGTATGTGAATGTGCTTGTGTGTTGGTGGGGCTGCATGTGTATGGGTAGGGTATACATATGCACATGGAAATCGGGTTGATTGCAGTTGCTTTTCTACCTTATTCTCTGAGATAGTCTTTCCTAAACTTGGAGCTCTCCAATTGGCTAGACTGGCTGGGCAATGATACCCTAGGATCTTCCTGTCTTCACCACCCATGCACTGGTATTATAGGCATGTGCTATGTTACCTGTTTGTTTTTTTAACTGCAGTACTGGGATCTGAACTCAGGTCTTCATGCTTGCGTTATTACCTGAACCATCTCCAGCCCCTCATAAAAACGTGTTTTCTAATACATTTGAATCATGCTTTGTTTAGTTAAATCTTATATTTTTCAGCTGAGTTAAAAAACAATATATAGAGAGTAATGTGATGTTTTGATGCATGTGTGATATACTATATATATATATATTTAAATCAGGTTAACATACTATATTTCACAATTTTATCATTTCTTCATGGTAAAAATGGACAGGGGAAAGTCCACAAGGCCTCAACTCTATACAAAGAACAGCAAGCAACTAAGGAATTCTGAGAGCAAGAGAGAGTCCTCTCCAGGGAGGAACACAGCAACTGGTGATCCAGTACCAAGACATATACACACAGTGACCTACAGACTGAGCAGGCTGTACTTAGGAATATATATGTATGTAGATGTCCATATATACATAGAGTAACAATTAAAGAAAAGGAGGCCATGAGTTTGACAGAGAGCAAGGAGGGGTATATGGAGGGATTGAAGTGAGGAAAGGGAAGGGGAAATGATGTAATTATAACCTCACAAATAAAAGAAATTAAAAAATGTTTCTTACTGCTTTAAAAATGTAGAGTATTCTTTTCGGTTGTAGCCATTTTGTGGGTCAGAGCTTTTTGCTTCTGTCTGTCTACCTGTAACTTAGTACCCATTGGGATTAGCTTTTTTATATTCCAGGAGTGTCTTTTTTGTTGGTGGCTTATTCAACCTAAAGATCTCTAGTTTTATTTGTTGTTACAAATGATAAGATTTTTTTTATGATATAATATTCCATGCTGTATGTGTATCACATTTTATATTTACCCATTGGGCATTGAGCATTTAGGTTATTTCTAGTGCTTGGTTGTTGTAGACATGAGAGCTTCAGGTACTTCTTCAATATATTCATTTATTTCCTGTGTATTTATATCCATTAGAGGAATTGCTGGGTCATGTTATAGCTGTGGTTTTAATTTTTGAGGTATCTAAGTGGTGTTTTCCATAAGGCATACACTAAATTACATTCCACCAATAGAATAGAAACATTTGCTTCTCTCCGTATCCTTACCAGCATTTTTTAATTTTTTTTTTTTTTTTCGAGACAGGGTTCCTCTGTGTAGCTTTGTGCTTTTCCTGGATCTCGCTCCATAGACCAGGCTGGCCTCGAACTCACAAAGATCTACCTGCCTCTGCCTCCTGAGCACTGGGTGCACCACCACCACCCGGCTTATTGTTAATTGTTTTGAAAATAATCATTCTTAGTGGGGTAAAGTGATAGCTTGTAACTTTTCTTTTCTTATTGATAAGTTTGTTATTCTGATATTCAAATATTAGCTATTTGTATGTTCTCATTTGATGTCTATATAGAACTGTTTCTCATTTAAATAAAGATTATCTTAATTAAATATTGGCAAAAATGAGAAGAGACCCAACCTGACCAGATAAGGAAAATGATCTGGAAATATATGCATGCCTTTAAATTCACCTTTTCTACTTGAGGCAGATCTTTAGATGACATAAGAATTTTTAAAATTTTTCTAGTTTCTCAAAAAAAATTGAGGACCATTTCTCCATTTAGAGAGCTATCCTTTTTTAGAAGTTGGGAATGTCAGTTGTAGAGTCAGAGTGCACACTTCTAATCCCAGTTCTGTACTTTCATTGACTTTTGAAAGTTATCTAACTTCTATGTCCCCACTTTTAAAACATAGGCATTTTATTGGCAGCAAAATATTCTTGATGGGTACCTTAGTTTAATCATAGTACTATAGATTTAGTGTCTCCAAAAATGAACATTTATTTCTCAGTTTTAGAGACTGAGATGTCTTTGGTGAAAGCATACTTCCTGGTTTACATGTAGGAGAGAAGTAGGGAAGGGATGGAGGGAGAAGGAGAGAGAGAGAAGGGGTAGAAGGGAAGAAGAAGAGAGACAGAAAAGGAGAGAACATTCTAGTATAGCTTTAAGGACATTATATCATCCTTTCAGATTGGCTCCATACTAATACCATCAAATTGGGAATTAAGACATTAAAGTATGAAATTTGATGGTAAACCTAGAGGTAGGCACATCTTAAAGTTTGGAGACTTTATATTTATTTTGTTGTCTCCAAAACAGATAGTTAACAGTATGTTTACATCTGAATAAATTTGGAAGTTAGCCATCTTTGAATTAGAAGCCAACACAGCTGAAAAGTAAATTTATCCTATTTCTTTTTTAGTCTGATGCTTAAATATGTGAGATGGGCTTTCTGTTTTGTCTTGTATTGTTTTGTTGTCCCCCACACCTACAAGATGGATCTGACTTCCTATCTGGGCTTCATCATTCTTGTTGAGATGTGTGGTATCCAGAAAACGTCTTGGAAGAAGCATGTATAACATTTTTCTTTTTTTATTAAAGTTTACTAGCAAGGTAGTACTGCCTTTTCATGACATTGAATGAGCAAAATTAGAACAAAAATGAATTTATCTTAGTTTTATATTATTGACCTAACAAAGTGCCACATAATAGTAGCTTAAAGCAGTGACCTTTAATTATCTTATTTTGCCTAGTTAGACATCTTGCAGGCTCGGCTGTGTAGTTTGTTCTGAGTAGCACAGGTCTGGAATTAAGATGTTGTAGCATGGGTCTGGAATTAAGATGTTAACAGGTTTGCTTCCTTTTTGAAGGGTCAGTCTGTCCATTTCCTTTCAGTTTTATTGATATTGTTGGGAGAATTCAGTTCCCATGTGGCTACAGAACCAATGTTCTCATTGTTTCTCTGGAAGTTGGCAGCTTTTACAAATAGCCTGTCCCTTGGCTTGTGGCCCCTTCTTCTTACCACCAGCAAGAGTACAAAAAACTTATGTTTAAAATTGCTTTTTCTGCCTCATTTTTCTACTACCTACTACTTCTCTTTCTCTTTCTCTTTCTGTGTGTGTGTGTGTGTGTGTGTGTGTGTGTGTGTGTGTGTTGGGATGTGTTTGTATGGGGGTCAGTCGCCGGTATGGGAGAGTTCATCTTTAAGGGTTTGTATGTTTAGACTGGGTTCAGTTGAAATTAAGGATTAGTCTCTGTCTCTAGGTTCTTTTGCCACATAGGATGTATTTGCAGATTCTACAGATTAGAATACGGACATCCATGAGGAGTCTTTATTTTGCCTGCTGTATTTCATTTAAGGATTTCTGAGTACAGTCATTGTGGTTCAATTTCAAATGAGATTTTATTTTTTAATTTTGTAGATTTTTTATGTTAACTTTGGTGACCTTTTATGTACCTTACATGAAACACCGTATATGATAACTACTGGTGATTCATTCTATGTTCCTTCAGGTAAGAACAACTAAAGCATTTTGATTCATATTGTTACAATGTCCATACAGTTGCTAGTGTATAGTTCCATGAATGTGGAAGCTACAGTGGTTAAAATGAACTACCATGTTATTAATGCCAAAGCAGTTTGGTACATATTTTCCTTTCATTTTATCACTAAATAAGTATATATTAGTGTTTTGATGTGTGAAATTCAAACAGATGTCTATTGCTAAAGAATAAAAATATTAAGTCGCAGTTATGTTGCCTTTCAAGCTATAAGGGAAATTATTTCTGCAATGTTATTTCCTGTTACAGTATATGGTCCTTTGTAGCTGATTGTTTTAACTATACAGACGAGTTTATTTTTAAAAAATTACAAGTCGTTAGTAGTAGGTATTTTGATGTATTTGCTTGCTTATACCTTCATTCAGTAAATATGAGTAACAGTGTACTGTGGTGCCAAGTATTGCTCTTTAAGTTTGGGATAAATAAAAGAAAAAGAGAGAAAACTCCTTCCATTTACAAAGCTCACATTGTGATGAAGGCAATAGTAGCTATATTTATATACTTTTGTCTTGTGGTGCTGGGAATTGAACTGAGATCTTTTTCTTATTGCTGGGCAAGTGCTCAGTGAGTGCATCCCCATGCCTAGCCCTGTGCTTACTGTGTGCTAGCACTATCGGAGAAATGTTCTAATTCTGTTAGTTTTAATGAATGCCAATTTCTACTATAGAGACAGTCACAGTAATAACATTTAATAATAATGCAAGTACACCTGCCATATGTGACACTATCCATCTGACACCGTTATATTACCTAATTAGTTCAGAGCAGCATTTGCTTTTAAAATTACTTTATATAACATTGCACCTTTCATTTTTACCTATGTGTGCATGTACGTGTCTGGTTTATAGGAACCTCAGCATTTCTAAAGATCATTTAAAGAGGTTTCAGAATGGTTTCTCTTGCACACATTTCTAATTTAACTCTGCCTTTGTTAGAGAATGACGGGAAATTTGTGTTCTTTCAGATCCTCTCTGAATCAGTAGGTGGTGATTAACTTTTGTATCTTTGGGTTCATGCAATTAAAATTAATTAAGTTAAGTTAGATAAATTGTTTCTATTTCATATTATATGCTGTATATGTTAAGTGGTGAAGAAATGATTCTGTGGAAATACAAATCTTTTTGTTACTTGAAATAATTCTGTTTTCTTATTACTTTACTTTTAGGTAATCATTACAACATTAAAAACCTCTTGGATGTGGAAAGTTGTCTTCTTTTTACTCAAATAAAGAGATGAAATATGTGTATATGTATAAAATAGGTTGTGTATTGTAAATTTTTGTAACTATGATTATTTTAAAATAAAACATTTATTTAGTTTGAGTAAACTTGAATTAGATATTCATTTCATACTCCTGGTTAAACATTTCATCATCTTGCCTGAATGTGCATACTACCTTTAATGATTGCCATTTTGCTGGTATTGTTTTAATAATAATGAAAAAAAACAAAATCACTGTTCCCACAGTATAAAACACATCTGCTATAAAAGAAATAATATGTCTACTCATTTACAATAGTTGGTTCCATATACAAATATTAAATCATTGGTCATTAAATAATCTAATAGAAAGCTGTTGTAAATGTGATGAATTAATTTCCATGGGCTGCTGTAACAAAGTGATTTAAAACAATGGAAATTGGGTTTATATATTTTTTTGCCTCAGTTTTTTGAGGCTTGAAGTGTGAATTCAAGGTGTCATCAGGGCAATGCTCACTTCTGTAGAAGGGATTCATTTCTTCTTTCTACTATCTGATTTGGTTCCTGTCTTTGGCTTTCCTAGTCTTGTACCTCAAACACTTCAGTCTTTACCTCTTATCATATGTCTTAGTTACTTTAATATTGCTGTGATAAGACACCATGACAAATATAACTTATATAAGAAGGTGTTTATTTGGAGCTTACAGTTTCATAGGGTTAGAGTCCACAACTGTCTTACAAGATGAGCTTACATCTAAATCCATAAGCGTAAGGGAGCGTTAGCTGAAAATACCATGTGCTTTTAAAACCTCTGGGCCAGCTCCCAATAACACACCTTCTCCAACAAGGCCACGCCTCCTAATCCATCCTAAACAGCCACCAGCTATTCAGATTATTTCTGCACTTAGCCTGAGGCTCAGTAAATACTGACTAATTTCTTGGGGCAGTGGGTAATGGCCCAATGTGCCTGCATGGTGGTAAACACACATCTCCCCAGCATGAGCTCAGGAATTGTCTGGGCCCAGATTGTTTCTTTTAATACTCTGATTGAGTCAGGTTATTTGCCTACAAGTTTGGCTTTTTCCTTTTGCAATACTGGAGTAGCTTTTGCTTATGTATCCAACTTGTGGAAATAGGAGATGAGAAGTGGAAGTCTGAGAAATAAGTGCTTTGAAGGTAAGAACCTGTTGCTGAGGACTTCACACATTTCAGACACAAGACTTAGAGGAATGAAGCTGGACCTGACATAGAAGCCTTGCCTGAAGACTAGTTCTCATAATACCAAGAGAAGCTATGCAAGCTGCCAGGGGAGAAATGTGTTCAGTAGTCCTACCTAGCTGTAAAGCCTACAAATCACAACCATAACCAGGATGGCATGGTACTTCTTCAGTTGTGGCACTTGTATCCTGAGAATTCCCAACAGCCAATTCATTGGACTTAAGGCCTGCCCACTCAGTAGGAGTAATTCATGACTGAAACAGTAAACCTAGCCCATTATCTATGTTTGGTGAGGTCAAGGACCCTAGAGGAGAAACTACTACAGCCACCTTTCCTAGACCAGGATAATTTCTGTATTCTAAATACTTATAGTCACAGATATAGTGTAGCTTTCATCTCTCGTCAAAGAAATTTCTTTTTGTAGCCAATAAAGACTATTATAGAAATCAACTAACTTCAAAATGCAGAAAACAACTGACTGATGCTTGACCCAAATTAATAAGTCTGCAGCACAAGCCCTACTTCATGGAACATTAAGGAAGAGCAAGGGCATATACTGTAGGAGCCAGAGGCTCATGATGGATGCCTGCTTCAAGATAGTGCCTTTCATATATGGGGGCTTCCATATACAGGGAAGCTGCAGCCATGAAGTTTTGACGTTATGGTTGCTAATAAAGGCATGTGCCACCCTACCTGCTTTTATGTAGTGCTAGGGAATTGTTCTGGATAAAATCATCTGAGAGGAGGTGTGGTTTGAAAAAGGTATGGTCCCCATAGACTCATATGTTTGAAGGCTTGGCCCATAGGGCGTGGCACTATTAGGTGTGGTCTTTGTGGAGTAGGTGTGGCCTTGTTGAAGGAAGTTCATCATTGTGAAGTTGGGCTTTGAGGTCTCATATATGCTCAAGTCATGCCCACTGTCTCAGACCACTTCCTGTTGCCTGTGGGTCAAGGTGTAAGAACTCCCAGCTCCTTCTCCAGCATCATACCTGCCTGCATGCTCCCTTGCTTCCCACCATGACAACAGTGAACTAAACCTCTGAATTGTAAGCCAGCTACCCCAATTAAACGTTTTCTTTTATAAGAGTTTTCATGGTCATGGTGTCTTTTTACAGCAATAGAAACCCTAACTAAGACAGGAGGGGACCTCAGTGAAGAAAACGCCTCTGTAAGATGGGGCTGTAGTCAAGTCTGTAGGTATTTTCTTAATTAGTGATTGATAGGGGAGGGCACAACCCATTGTGGATGGTATTATCTCTGGGCTGGTGGTCCTAGGTTCTTTAAGAATGGAACACACTGGTAAGTGGTATACATCCATGGCTTCTGTATCAGTTCCTGCCTTCCCGGGTTCCTGTCCTCACTGCTTTTGATGATGAACTGTTACATGGAACTGTGAGCAAAATAAAGCCTTTCCTCCTCAAGTTGCTTTTGGTCATGGCATTTCATCACAGCAATAGCAACCCTAACCCTAAGACAAGCTGATACCAGTTGGGTATTTCTGTGACAGACCTGACCATGTATTGGGGAGGATTGTGGAAGGACCTTGGAACTTTGGGTAGTGGACTGGAGCCAGCTGGAGCCTAGAAGACAAGCTGTATGTGCTGCAGAGGGCAGAACTGGAGAACTGACCCAAGGTCCTTGGAGAAGCCCAGAAGATTGGTAGTGAATCCCAGATAATTGAACATTGAGTTATTTAGACTGTTGGAGTGGGTCTTGCTTGGTTAAAATTGTGACTGTGCCCTGGTTCTTCCCTCTTGAAGAAAGTAACTTAATTTTGATTTTCTACAGGAACCCACAGCTGAAAGATTTTGAACTTTTAAAACAGATTTTGGAATTTCAAAGAGACTGAATTTTTTTTTTTTTTTTG